GATTTTTTCCGTCTTGTCATTTTGTCCAGAGGAGAATAGATGAATGAGAGAACAAAATGGTAACAGGGTAACAATGCCCCAGAAAAGTATACACTAAACAAATCAGAAGAAACTGGGGGAAAAGAAAGGGAAAGAAAGAAAAAAGAAAAAAAAAAAGAAGAAAAAGATAAGGAAAAAAAAAGAATATGATCAGATATGATCAGGCTGGTGAATAGATCAATGCCACACACTAGATTTTGAGCGTATTTTGGTCTGTTAGAAGAAACTGCCTCCCAAAATTTTAAAGAAAGAAAAACTTATATATGTACAAAAATAAGGGTAAATATGATGAAGGGATGGAATAGGTATAATAAATGTCCACAGATTGAGTCGTCAGATGCTTATAGTGGCTTCCTATCCTAGCTATCTACCTTATAGAATTGAGTCAAAGTTCTGATCCATGTGTTATGTGTAAGTATGTTGACTTAAAATATTCACTATTAATTGTAATAATTCCACTGAAACCAGATTTTGACATTTGATTAGACTGGTTGGTCCAGATCTTTGATTGGAAGTGTCATTTTTATATTTTGTACTTGATAATTCATTGAGTAAAATAACAAAATATGAGGCAGGTAAATTATTTTTAAATCATTGTTTTTACACAGCTAGAAAGAAATTTGAGTTAATCTTAACCTTGTGACTCTTAAAAATAGTCTTTATCAAGAAGAGCAAAAATAAAGAATCATAGCATCTGCATACTAGAGCAGTGAATAGTATTGGTATGCTAAAGGTCTTATCAACTATGAAATTACAACACCCCAAATCAGAATTGCCATTGTATTTTGTTATTGAAAATAATTTTTTAAAAAGGTTTTTATTTATTGAGAGAGAATGATAGCATGAGAGGGAGGAGGGTCAGGCAGCCCAATGCGGGACTTGATCCTGGGACTCCAGAATCATGACCTGAGCCGAAGGCAGTCACTTAACCAACAGCCACCCAGGCGCCCATTCAAAATAATTTTTGATGATAGAAGGTAGTTTTAGTGTTTAACTCAAATGGGAGACTGTAAATATGTTGCATACCCTGAAGAATCTACTAGATTTTAGTGTTTCATTTTGTGTCAAAATTTTGTTGGTAATTCTTAAATTATATTAGTAGAGCTTAGTCAAGTGGGCCAATAATAAAATAAGTTAGGATATAATTTAATCCTTTTTGGCTAGAATATGTTCACTGTTTTTATATTGTAATTTTGACTAATTTTGATGGTACTGCTGTAAAGATTGAATAATTTGAATAATTATAAATATTAGCAAAGGAAATTTTTACATTGATATTTCAGAACTTGTCTGAAAAGTTACTGAAGAAAGAACTGGAGTTTACTCAGTTAGAGGAGAAACATAATGAAGAATGTGTGAGTAAAAAGAATATACAAGCAAGCCTTCATCAAAAAGACTTAGATTGTCAACAGCTGCAGTCAAGATTATCTGCATCTGAAAGCTCCCTGCAGAGAATACAGGCAGAACTAGGTGAAAAGGGAGAAGCTACACAAAAGCTCAAAGAAGAATTATCAGAAGTGGAGACCAAGTACCAGCATCTTAAGGCTGAGTTTAAACAGCTGCAACAGCAGAGAGAGGAAAAAGACCAGCACGGGTTACAACTCCAAAGTGAAGTTAATCAAGTAAGAGATGTTACTTTTATTTATTGTTTTCCTTCTATGGTTTCTTAGTGTGCTTGATAGTTATTTGATTATAATATAGTTCATTAAAAAAATATTGTCATTTAAAAAAATTAGCTCTTAATTTTCACAACCAGCAGTTTTGAGTCAGATTTCATTTCCTTTAATTTCATTTCAATTTTCCTTAATGAGAAAGAAATCTTAGCACCCCTCATATAGTATTGTTGTGAAGTGTTTATAAATTAGTACCTGTAAATTGCTTAGGATGGTACCTGGCACATGGTAGGTACTCAGCACATATTAGTTAATTGTAATTAATTCAAATTGTTGATCATTCTTTAATTTAGAAATTCTTATCGTTTTTCTTTTTTTGTTACTAAATTTTCAAAATGGTTAAACCAATAATATAAAAATATCTATATTTTAAAAGAAAAAAATAAATTAGTCCTGGGCGCCTGGGTGGCTCAGTTGGTTAAGCAACTGCCTTCGGCTCAGGTCATGATCCTGGAGTCCCGGGATCGAGTCCCGCATCGGGCTCCCTGCTCAGCGGGGAGACTGCTTCTCCCTCTGACCCTCCCCCCTCTCATGTGCTCTCTGTCTCTCTCATTCTCTCTGTCTCAAATAAATAAATAAAATCTTTAAAAAAAAAAAAATAAAAAAAAAAATAAATTAGTCCTAACAGCTATTTTTATAATAATATCTAACTTAAATTCAAGTTCTATATTCTTATTATTTCTTATAGGTAACATTAAATATTGGTTGAAAAATGGAAATTTGGGGGACATTAAAGTCCTCACCCACTTTTTTGATAATATTCAACTATTTTCACTTAAATGGTAGTGATACTTGCTTTTTTTTTTTATTATGTTCAGTTAGCCAGCATTTGGTACATCATAAGTTTTTGATGTAGTGTTCAGCAATTCGTTAGTTGCATTTAACAACCAGCGCTCATCACAACATGCGCCCTTCTTAATACCCATCACCCGGTTACTCCATCCCCCCACCCTCTCCCTTCTGTAACCCTCAGTTTGTTTCCTGGAGTCCAGCGTCTCTCATGGTTTGTCTCTCTCTCTGATTTCTTCCCATTCAGTTTTCCTTCCCTTCCCCTGTGGTCCTCTGCTCTATTCCTTATGTTCCATGTCCTTATGTTCCACGTATGAGTGAAACCATACGATGATTGTCTTTCTCTGCTTGATTTATTTCACTTAGCATAATCCCCTCCAGTTCTATCCATGTTAATGCAAATGGGGGTATTCATCCCTTTCTGATGGTTCAGTAATATTCCATTGTATATATGGACCACATCTTCTTTATCCATTCATCTGTTAAAGGGCATCTCAGCTCCTTCCACAGTTCGGCTATTTTAGACATTGCCACTATACTTGCTTTTATGGCATCAGTTCTTCTGTCTTCTTGGCCTGATATATTCTTCCTGTTTCTCTTCTCCCTGATGAACACACTGCTTACCTCACTTGTCACTTTTCTAGTAATCCTTTTCTGAACATTGACATTTCTCCCTCTCTGACCCCCCAAAGGTGGCTTAAGCACGTATATATTTTGATTGTTTTACTTACCACAGTATAGTATATTATCATAACTTACGTGTCTTTCTTCACTAGATTCTGAACTCTTCGGGTGCAAAGACCATGTCTTACTCATTTTTTATTTTCACTACCTGGCACATTGCTTGTTTTTTTGTTTTGTTTTGTTTTTGTTTTTTAAAGATTTATTTATTTATTAGAAAGAGAGAGAGAGAGTTGAGGGAGGGGCAAGGGGAGAAGGAGAGAGAGAAACTCAAGCTGACTGCACTGAATGCAGAACCTGACAAGGGGCTCGATCTCATGACCCTCAGATCATGACCTGAGCTAAAATCAAGAGTTGGACCCATTCAGGCATCCCACATACATTGGTTGTTAATCAGCAAATGTTTTAGTGGATAACTTAGATATTTGATGTTCATTTCAGATAAAATTTGGCACTTATGATTTCTAAAAGACATCATGTTTTATTTGTTGGGAGATACAGAACTGAAAAAGGAAACTGTACTTACTTTAAGTGATTACGTAAATCTCATTGAGGTTAAGGCAAGTGCTATCCTATATCAAAGAATGTGAGGATTATAATAAAATGATCCTGTGTATGATGGGAATTTGGAAGAGTTCCTCTTCCGTTTTCTTCCCCCACAGTACTTCATTTGTGTAATTATTTTATCCAGTTATGTGATCAGGAAAAGCTTTGCGTGAGACAGAGGTGGTGCATAAAATTATGAATATTAGATAGGTATTGACAAATGACAGTGTGGAGGTAGGAGAATCTTCCAGGCAGAAGGTTTAGTGAGAGTAAACTAGTGTTAAGAAAATATTATAAGAACCAGGAAGGGACATCTCTTAAGATAGGGTGTGTGTAATAGAAGTGGACTACTGCGATTGGAAAGAGCATTTGGAATCTTATTATGTAGGGTCTTGAATAGCAGGCCGAGAAATTTGGGCTTTATTGGTTTTCAGTGGGAGGAGGGGCATGAGGAATTTTTGAGAACCTACTCAAACATATTTTTATACAAAGACTCGAACATGTGATTATTTGGTTTAGTCACAATTCTGTAGTAAATAAAGAGATCATACTGAAGACCTTGAAGTTACACCATTTATCTTCTTTTAGCATGCTGTTTGCATTCTACCTTAGTATGTTTCAAATCTGTCCACTTCTCTTCATCTACAGTGCTCCTGCTCTTAATTTAAGCCACTATATTGGCCTTCTTAAAGTTTTCCTTCTAGTGACCTCCTTAATTTGTTTTCCATGCAGAAGCCAGAGACATCTTTCTAAAACATGAAGGATATCACTTTTTTTGTCTGCTTATAGTGGCTTTGCATTACACTTCGAATTGAATCCAGATGTCTTACTTTGGCATGTGAGTTTCTGCAAGTAGCATGGCCCACACTATGCCTTCGAACTCATCTCCTACCACTGTTAAGCTATGTTGATCTCCTTTTAGTCACTCAAACACACCAGTGCTTCAAGTGCTTTCTTGCCTTAGGTCCTTTGCCCATGTTTTTTTCTTAGTATGCCCTTGACTTCAGTTCTTCAAAAGGCTGGCTCAGGTGTCATTTTGTCAGTAAGGACTTCCAGGACTGCTCTCTTTAAATAGCTTGTTTCCCCTTCTTTATTTCGGCAGGCTTTTTTATTCTTCTTTATAACACTTTACAGTGTATAATTAGTTTTTTGTTTACTTGCATATTGTCTACCAATCCCATTGGACTGTGAACTCCTTAATGTGAGAAATTCGTTTTATTTTATACTCTGTCAGCCTCTATGCTTAGGAATTTCAGAAAGCAAATATTTATATTTTTTAAAGATTTTATTTATTTATTTGTCAGAGAGAGAGCACAAGCAGGGGGAG